TATCCACATCTAGACACTTAGATTAGTTTAAAACTCACATCTCCTGAGTTACCAACACTCTAGGAGCATACCAAATGTAAAAAGTCAAAGCCTCTATAGTGAAATTTAAGCAAAAGAAAAAAAAATCAGAATAAAGAGAGGGGTTTAGCAATTAAGCAGCTGGATTTTGAGGCAACAGAGCAAGGACCAGCTCCAAGTTTTTTCTTTTACTTTTTTAGCACACGGTGTGAATCCTCGGCAGGGTTGCACAATTGCCTGGTGATGAGTCCCATTCCTGTTTTTCTTGCCAGGTGGATGTTTGGACAGGCCCTAAACCCGCACGCACACCAGTGAAGACATATAGGCAAGCACACACATGCACACACACACACACACACACACACACACACACACACACACACACACACACACACACACACACACACACACACACACACACACACACACACACACACACACACACACACACACACACAGACACCAGCACACACACAACAACCCACACTCCTAGTTAGTTTCAGTTACACGCCCATATTTTAAGAAGTTAATAAGGCTAGTTGGAGCATGGTAGAAAATGAAATCCTTTGCAGTAGCTTTGTAAGGTATTGCATTGGTTGTAATGTGAGTAACTGGGAAAAGGTGCATGATAACTGGTCTAAGATCATTGCTACAACCCTGAAATATAAGACAACAGCCAGAGCAAATGCATTGACCTTGCTCATGGGTGCTTTTTGTTATCATTTAACTATGCAAATTAGAAAAACCAAGATAACATAATTCTAAAGAAACATATTTTACAGAAAAGTAAAAATTTAACTCCAAGTTTGGATTTCTGAGGCCAACTTCTTGTCACCTTGTGCAGGCTGCACATTAGTGAGACTTGGTGTCTTGGTGCAAAGGTTTATGGGTAATGGTGGGCTGGTTTGTGGTCAAAGACCGAGGTCTATATGTTATGTGGGGAGGAAGGGAACTTCCACTTTTTACCCGCGTTGTGCAGTCAAGTCTGGTGACGAGGGTTGTGAGGTGCAAAAAAATTTTGTACTTGAAAGATACTTTTCAGACAACTAAATAAATCAAAAAATAAAATTTTGAAACTATACCTGACTGTGTGAAAAGGAGACATAGCGCAGAATGGGTAAAAAGAAGGAGCACAGGCAGGAAGGAAGAGTTTGCAAAGTTAGTACAAAAAACACAGCAGTGCTTGCATTGCTTGCTTCTTGGGAAGTCAGACTGAAAGAGTGGGAAAGACATAGTGAGAAACAAAAACAGAGAAACTGAGACAAAGAGGGATGAATCTCCACCTGACACAGGAAGATAGAAAATGTGACAAGAAGAGAGAGAAAGCCGGGGTTTGTGCAGCAGTGCGCACCTGCGGATCAGCCTGAACAGTAAGAAAACACACATTGGGAAAGAAGAAGATAGGGTTTGAGGGTTGTCATGCAGCCGGCAGCCACAGGTTCACTGCAGGAGACTGGGATGTGGGGATTACAAACACTTGGTGGTTTGACATAAATGGATTCACAGCTGCTAAGAGCTGAACTGAAAACAGGAAATAAATGTGAAGACAAAACTTTGTATTTTTTTCACACAAGAATAAAAGAGAAGGAAGTTTCATCAGTGCAGAGCTAAATCCAGTCTAATCTAAATGTCAGGCAACAGACAGAGCAGCACATGTAACCACTGAAATGTCTAAGAATAAATGAGCATGGACAGTTTCTTGTAATCATTTTCAGTTTGACTGTGATGAAGCTACTCTTCCACTATAGAGTGCAGTAGGAGTTTTTGGGGGTGTGACCTAAAAGGGGTCAGCAGAAAAAGTCAGCTTCAAAATGATCAAGAAATAACAAAAAATTTATAGGGCAGCTGCACATACTGTAAACCAATAAGTGCAAAAACAAAGAAATGTCAGTTTTGAGGTTGCTCCACTTAACGTGGCTTAGGAAACACATCATGTTACACTCTCTGTATGTCTCTGCTCATTGTCATCAATCAGGTTCACGCACTGACTGAATTCAACTGAGTCCTTGTAGTGACTAACTTTTCTGATAACATGTTTTCAACTGAGTGGTAACACTCAAAATGAAATGTGGTGTTGAATAATGGGACTTTCATGTTCTACTTGGTAGCTAAGTTGTAAGGTATCACCACAGAGGATCACACACAGGGTTGTGTGATGACATGATACAGACGAATTGCCAGAAACTGCCAGAAAACTGGAGATGTTTGGCTTTACTGTACTTCTGAGAAGAGAATAGGGACAAGACTGGTTACTCAGATTGAAATATTGCAATTTGACACCTTTAATCTTCCTATTACAACATGTACATAGATTACAAAATCTATGCTATATTCTTACAACTGCATACTTTATTGTATTTCACTGGGACACAAAGTAGCACATAACTGCAAAGTGGAAGGTAAATAACAGTGCTTTCAATGTTTTTTACAAATAGAAAAACTGAAATGTGGAGCGTACAAGAGTTTTCAGCCCTCATTACTCTGATAACCCTGAGTAAAATTCAGTGCAACAATTTGTGTTTAAAAGATATCTAATTGGTAAACAGAGTCCACCTGTGTGTAATTTAATGTCAGCGTAAATACAGTGTTTCTGTTTGACAAAGAACTGAAAATCATTGAGATCAATGTATAGACTAGACAAGGTTAAAGCAGGGTTATGTTATAAAACAATATCCCAAAAAGAGCAATAATCAGAGAAGCACCCAAAAAGTCCATAACTATGGAAGAGCTGCACACATCCACAGCTCAGGTGGGACAATCTCTCGACAGAACTACTGTTATATGTGTTCACCACAAATCTTGCCTTTTTGGCAAGAAGGAACTTATTGCTGAAAGAAACCCATCAGATCTCCTATTTAGATTTTGTCCTAAGTCATGCAGAGGACAGAGCACACATATTGCAGAAGCTGCTACATTGCAAAATGGTATGTATGGCAAAAAATTAAACTTTGCCCTGAACACATCATTCCATGAAACATGGTGGGGGCAGCATCGTGTTGTTTGGATAGTTTTGTCAAGCAGAGGCATACAAGTTAGTCAGAGTTAATGGAAAGATGAATGATGCATAATTCTGGAAATTCTAAAAACAAACTTGTTAAATGTTGGGGCAGATGTGTGCATTCCAGCAAGGTAACCTTAAACATACAGCCTGAGAAACAATAAAATGGTTTAGATAAAAGCATATTTCAAGGAAATGCGTCAATGACTGAACTGGTACAAAATAGATCAGTGAAAGCCAAGACCTAAATACAATTGGAATGGCAAAACGTAATAATTGCTGTCATCCAGTTTGAAAGTGTGAAGAAAACATTTAGCCACTAGATGTGCAAATCTGGTGGAGACACACTCCTCAAAAAATTATCGATTCAAATAGGCTGAAAGAATATGCTCATCACACTGTTCAGAGTTTTACTTGAAAACCGTGTATCATTTCCCTTCTTTTTCACAATTATGCACGCCTTTGTGTTGGTTTATTACATAAAATCCAGGATTAAATGTGTAAAGATTTGTGGTTGTACCAAGTGAGAGAGAAAGGTTTTCAAATGTTAATAAACCATTTTTCATGTAAATAAATTAACTCCATAGTATCTAACTAATCAAAAGGTCTTGCTTTTGATTAATTGATGATTTTTTTAATGGGGACACTCTTTGCTACGTTCTGCTGATTGGTTCTTCACATGAAATATTTTTTTGCAGCTCAGGGAAATGGCAAAAACAAATTTCAAAATTAAATTGTTGGTGTAAATACTTCTGGCAAGTTTCTTACCTTTTGTTTTGTTTTTTTCTCTTTTTTAAATGTCTGTGCTTTTGTTGCGATTGCAGACTCTTAGGTCAAGAGGAGAGTGAGGGAGACGGAAACAGGGACACACTTCAAAGCAGTGCTAAAGGATGTTTAATAATAATAAAAATAATAAATTAAGTGAAAGGATTGTATATTTCAAACCGTGCAAAACCAACATTAAATTGCATAACCTGGATTGTTCAGAGACCGATTGCAGTTTAACCTTCATGTAAAATCATTTTTGTGGTCTTACTGCCAAACTATTACTATACCCTATTTTCTTACTTCAGGTAGCCAACAACTGATATTCACAAATAAACACATGAATAAAGCCTCCTCTATGTTTTTTGTTTTGTTTTTTTTTTTTGCAATACTTGTGCCCTTGTTTCCAATACTGCTCAGAGGTTTTCTCATTCTGCCATCTAGTGGAGATTTATTGATATTGACAACGTGAAAAACAGGACTTTAGAGAATGATAGACATAGCTTTCAGTAAATATCTTTTTTCCGTTATAATGTCAGTATATATAAATTATGACTTCATTTTTGTGTTCATATTTTGATTTGATTTATGTTATTTGAAAGTATTTTTTTATAAACTGCCAAATCTAAAGTGTTTGTTTGATTCTATAGCACAGTGTTGCCATTGTTTCCAGTGTTGGCAAACATAAGTTAATTCAGGTGCACATATTTCTGGAAAGGATGTGTCATTTGCATTAGTATTTAAAATGCCATAGATTTTTAAATCAAAGAATATAAACCATGTCCCATGCCTTCTTAATGCTTGCAGAGTCATATCACCCAAAGATAACCAATGAAACATTCACTCCAAAGGGTAACTTAGATTACCTAATGAACTGATGTGCATGTTTTGGGGTGTTGTACAAAGCTGGAGCACACCCAGAAATGTTTGGGGAGAACATCCATCCTTTGTCTGTACCGGCTTATCTTTGCAGAAATAAATAAAAGAAATAAACATGCAAAATAAAAAACATAAAAACATATTTTCTTTAAATTTAGGAAAGCATAAAGCTTTGGCTGAAGCATTTGACCAAGTTTTGTAATCTATTTTTTAGTGGACTTAAACGTTTAGCTTTTGGCTAACAGCAGAGAAACTGGTGATGCAGGATGTATTTCAGATTTTGTTCAGTGAACTTATGCTCTTTAATGTGATTGTTGTTGGTACTATTTTTTTTCAGGGCTGCATGGTGGCACAGTTGGTAGTACTGCTGCCTTGCAGCAAGGCGGCAGTACTGGTACTACCTGGGTCCTGGGTTCAATTCCCAGCCAGGGATCTTTCTGCATGGAGTTTATATGTTCACCCTGTGCATGTGTGGATACTCCGGCTTGCTCCCACAGTCCAAAGACATGCCTGTTAGGTTAATTGGTCTCTCTAAATTGCCCTTAGGTGTATAAATGAGTGTGCATGGTTGTTTGTGTGTTGTTGAACATCTTAACTAGAGAATTTATATTTAAAAACAAAAAACCTTATAACAAAAGCCAATGAACCAATGAACCAATGAAAAACTAATCAAAAAAATCATCTGAGGTCATAAAGACCACGATTTTATTTAAATGAACATTTATAGACATTAGAAAAAGCACAAATAAAAACTGTAACTGAAGCCAACGTTCTCAGAGGACCTGTAATGTATTGAGACAACACTTGCTGGAGCATGAGGGAAGTGAGCTTTCAATTAAACCAGAAAAGTCAGCCTCAGAAACTCATAAACACAATGGAGCTGACTGGTCAAGCTGGAAAACACTACTGGTAAAATAACTATTGATATTTTAAATGTTTAATAGATGCAATGTGGTCCTGCTACATTTTATCAAAAAGAAAATACAATTTGTAGTGCTAAATATTGATTAAGTTAGAGTGCGTTTGTGCTTAAAATGACAACACTGCTCTAAATATTGCAATTACTGGAACTGATTTCTTTTGTTTGTTTTATTCAAGTCAGGTTTTTTATTTCTTAAGAATAAAGAACCAAAACAATTGTTTTAGTGGCTCGCTGATTTCTGCATAGAAGCTCCATAATCAGATGACATTGATGGAACAAACTACAGGGGTTGGACAATGAAACTGAAACACCTGCATTTTAGTGTGGGAGGTTTCATGGCTAAATTGGACCAGCCTGGTAGCCAGTCTTCATTGATTGCACATTGCACCAGTAAGAGCAGAGTGTGAAGGTTCAATTAGCAGGGTAAGAGCACAGTTTTGC